TTTTCACGGACGGCGCTGAAGGTTAGCTTGGTTGGTCTTCCCTCGCTGAGTATCAGACAATTTAAAAGTTGTTTCTTCAGCCTTCACAGCGGAAACCGGCTGCTCTCGCCAACCGGTCCATTTGTTGGCAATTACAGCAATCATCCCTAGTGGGTTTGGTTGAGCACCGAATGGTCAATCCCATCTATGTTTTATTGTGAATTCACGAATATTTTACATATGTAGAAACTGTCGGAAATAGTTACCCAAGCCAACTTTTTGCATGATTGAACCCAGGGCTGCGTATTCATTCATGTTTATTCACGGATTATTCAAATTTGCGGTAGGTACTGGAAGTTTTGGCCTGCTAATCCCGCTACTTCTGAGTAGTACGTAGCTGGACCCAGATTTTTTTCACCGAGGTCTATGGGATTATCATACATCTATCATTTTTTCCCGATTTTTCAGCGTTCAGAAAAAACTTGACTCACTGGTAAGTGGTCAAAGTTGTCTTGCATCAGTTTTTCTTGACGTAAAATCTCCGAAAATCTTTCATTTCCCACCAATCGATAATGGTGTTAACTGTTGTGCTTCATTTTGTATATTTCGAGCTGTCATTTGGATTATGTATTGTAAGCCTTTCAGTAATGGTTTACTGAGTCGATGAATCTTAGTCATTAGAATAAACCACGGATTTAGCCATCCTTCTACCGGATAAGATGTTTGACATGGTCATAGTTGACCAAATTAACCATGCGAAAAAAGATGCACTGCGTTCTGTTCGCTCACCTCTGGCATTGAATGCATTGAATGGAATATAAATTGACTTCTTTATAACGTATTGCTTGCAAAAGCCTATTCGGTTTTAGTAATTCACACTACAGCTATTGTAAGACGTGATGTGCACAAGTGATTTATCGACTTAAGGCGTATTATCCGATTTCGTTAAGCACTTGCAAACTTCTAGACAGAAATAAACCGACAATGCTTCCATTTTTCAAAGTGTCTGTTATGTCACACCAAATGGCAGTGTTACTCCGTGACTATTTATTAAGCTTGCGGACGTGGTGACCAACTTGCGTCAGTAGTTACGCTTCATCCATTGTTCGAATGTTTTTGTCTTCCCTAGTTTGTTGCTCATTTCCACCCTGTTATCATTAAAAAGATGGATATATAATTTATTGATTTGCGACGCTGATTTTTGATAATCTTGTTCTTCCCATCACTTCCAGTTCGCTCCTCATGTCTGCTATCTCCGTTGCAATGTGCTACCCTTCGCAATAACCTCACCCCACGTGTACCGATTCCAACCATATGTGTCTCTGTCGTGGGGGTCATATTTACGCTTTTGCGTACGCACACTCACACTGTTGTGCATGTCCTCCATATCCTGAACCCTTTTTAACCTCCTTGTGGTGTATTCTTTGCACGGCATTGTCTTCCACTTTCTTGTCTCTGTTTCTGACCTTCGTTGTTCATGCTTCTCACATGCGATAACAAACTTACACGTCGTGTTGTTTATTTCTCATCTCGGAAGGCGGCGCTTGCAAAAGCTTGTTCGATAGAGTTGTGCTCACAAATATTGCATGCAGATTGGTAGCGCGGAGTGAAATCAAATAAATTTGGCCACATTTTGTTCCCATTTATATTCGAGCTAGTTCTGCCTTGAGACTGAGTCCAAAAATGGAACACACCTATTCCATGGAAAGTTGTCCTTTTTTAATTATTAGAGCTAACATGCGGCTGTCGATATGACTGAAACCTCAAATCACACGGGTTAGGGAGCGTCGTATATGTATACCCTAAATGGTCGAGATGAAAATATTACATGGTGACAGAAATTTCAATCTTATCTCCATCATGATACGCTCTCATATATATACTTGTGTAATATCACTCATTTTGGAAACCCATTTCACTTTGCGATATACTTATATTTTGACGATGCCTATGAGTGGAGTGTATTTATTCCTGACTTTATATCCCCCTTCCTTTTGCCATTGGGTTTATCTCACTGCCGGCTAACGTGTAATTCAGCGAGCGGAGAAAGCTGATCTACTGACGTAGTCTTCCCATGAAATTCGTTTTACCTGACAAAAGAAGTAAATATCCATCCCGCCTAACGGGTTGGAAGGGAAGTAAATACTGAGCGTTTTGTTGTTGGCCTCCTGCACATACTGCCCTGGATATCGCAAAATGTCTTTCACTGGTAAGGTTTTTGATAACTGTGATTCCTAAAAGGCATTCGCGGAAGTCATATTTTTCACAGTTGAAGGTTAGTATATCTTCTCATTTTATATCTTTTCAAATTTATTTAGTTTCTGGATGGGTGAAGATCAATGACGAATTCATTCAATTACCACTCAACAGTTGGGATTTAAATGTAATGTAAAACTTTTCCGTGTTAGAAACAGGGATAAGTTAGCTGCTTCGGCAGTGGTGCGGCATGTATTAGAAGAAACTGGCAAATTCTGTTGAATAATGAAATTGGTGGACTGCATACAGAAGGGATTGCTTCCAGGACTTGAAATGAAGGAGGGTAAATAGAATATGCACGAGATGAAAGTCTAGTATGTGTATAAAGTCTATGAATCATTTCGACGGATAAATGATAGTTAAGTTTTTACTGTGGCCTCTGGTGCTAACAACGTTTCTGTTATTTTCTGGAGCCGAGGGTTACTACGCAGTGGACTATGTTTTCCAACCCCGACGATGTTGGTTCTCTGCGGAGCAAAGGTGGGGGCGGGGGAGGAACGCAGTATGTTAGTCAGCAGATGCTTTCCTTGTGACATTGTCATTGCTATATTGAGTATACTGTTCCACAGAGATGGCCACATTTATTGTATGCCAGGAGTCACATTATTGGATTTGCTCGTGCGAAGCCTGACTTTCTCGATTAGTGCCAGTGTGCGTAAAGTCTGTTATAAATCCCACCAAGCATCCTCACCAGTCGTTCAGACCAAATGACTAATCTTATAATGTGAACTGAGTTTTAACCATATCGGATAAAAGTGGCATTGTCATAGACTCCGCGATGTCACCTTCTGTAGAATCTAAAAAGTTTGAGCCAAAGAAGAGTAATCTAAACCAATAGTTCTGTTTTGCTCAAAAGAGGAAAATATCTCAACAATCTAAATGAAATTTAAGCACAAGCTAATCATTTGAGCTTGTCGCTCGTCTGTAAGTAAAAGCCAAATTTCCTTCACGATCCTCTAGTTTTACTGTATTAACTATGGATATCCCATGAAATGGAAGCCACTTGACTATCATTTATAGTGTCAGGGCTCTCAAGGAAGCGGTCTATTCGCGCAGATCTAAGAGACTTGGTTCTCATTTCGAGAATATCCATATGAAGGTCCGAAAAGTAAGCGATAGAGTATTAAGCATCCTTAAGAAACGCTAGAAAATAATTGGTGAGAAGTAATGTATCATCACTGTTTTCGATACCAGCTTTGAGCTGTTTATTGGAGCAATTGGGAAATCCATTTACCACAAGGAACATGACTCAACGAGAGTCTCGCAGACCTGTGAAATCGCAATGACAAAGCAGTCCGTCGGAAATGCAAACATGC